TCTCGCTGTGGGCACATGCTCTGTTTGTTGTTACCTTTAACACTTCCTCAACCCAGTAGGGGAAATCACTCTTTGAGTGATTTAATGCTGCTGAAATTGATGCCATGAGAAAAAGCAGTTGATTCTGAGACTTGCTTGTTGACTGTAGGATAAGTCTTTGTGCTGATGTTATTTATTTCGACTAATGTCCTGTGCACAGCTGCGATGCTTGAGCACGCTCCTTTAAAAAAAAATCAGCAGGGCAGAGTGGAATCCAAAGTTTGTAGTTTAAAAGACTTTTGAGAACACCTAAGCCAGCTTCTAACCTGATACATAAATCTTTGAGCCAGTCATTCTGCAAGCATCTGTGTACTGAAACACTTCCAGTGATAGAAAACTTAGTTCTTGTTAAAGCCTCTCCCAGTTTTGTTAAAGATCTTTAAGAGTTAGCTTGTCTACGCGTTTGAAATCATCTCCTTTATTCTTTCATTCACACATCTAAAATGTATTAGGCTACACTACTGGGGCGGGTGTGCTACTGCATGATGGGGATATAAAGATGAGTGAGCAATGACCTGTGCCTTCAAGGAGTTTACAGTTCTCATGGGATGAGATAAAACCAAACCAAACCCATTGCTATAGAGTCAATTTCGATGCAGGGCAACCCCATGTGTTACTAGTGGAACTGCTCATAGGGTTTTCTTGGCTGTAATCTTTATGGAAGCAGATTTCCAGGCCTTTCTTTCATGATACCCTGGGTAAGTTCAAACTGCCAACCTTTGGGTTAGTAGTTGGGTGCAAACCGTTTGAGCCACCCAGGGGCCTGGTGGAGTGAGATATTGTTAGGTGCTGTCAAGTCAGTTTCCACTCATAGCAACCCCATGTGACAGAGTAGAACTGGCCCATAGGGTTTTCTAGGCTGAATCTTTATGGAAGCAGGTCTTTCTTCTGTGGATCCACTGGATGGATTTGAACCACCAAACTTTTGATTGGATAAAAATGGGAAACAATGTGATCACTGCTCTATGAGATCTGTACAAATGGTATTGAGAAGGAGGAGGCCAGTGGGTAAGGAAGGAGTTGAGAGATAGTCTTTACACTATAGCTGATGTGTGAACTGGCCTTTAAGGATAGGTAGAGGTTGCTCGGTGATGAGAGTGGGAAGGCTGGGGCGGATGGCATTCCAGGCAGAGGGAACTGCACTGAGGCACTGAGCGAAGGCAGAGAGGCAGTGGAAGATCTGTACGGTGCATTTTGGAGAAATAGAAGTAATTGTTTGTGGTCCAAGTACAGAATCTGTGCAGGAAGGAGCTGGCAGGAAACAGTATTGAAGAGAGAGGTTAAAGGATGACTGCAAAAGGCCTTGTGTGCCATGCTAAAGAGTTGAAACTTCATTATCTAGGAGGGAGCTGGGGGAAGAGGGGGTGAGGGTTGGGGAGGACTGATAAGGGGCAGTAGATGAATTCTCCCTTTCTATATGGGAGACCTGGGTTTGATTCTTGGCCATTGCATCTCATGAGCAGCCACCCGTGTGTGTTGCTATGATGCTGAACAGGTTTCAGCAGAGCTTCCAGGCTAAGTCAGACTAGAAAGAAAGGCCTGACAATCTACTTTTGAAAAGCAGCCAATAAAAACCCGATGGATCACAGTGGTCTGATCTGTAAGCAATCATGAGGCTGGTGCAGGACCGGGCAGCCTTATGTTCCATTGTGCATGGGGTTGCCATGAGTCAGGAGCCAACTCCACAGCAGCTAACAACAACAACACATTATGGCCTTATAAGCAGAAGAGTAATGTGATCTGTGTTTTACAGAGGTAACTGAAGGATGAATTCAAGGTGGAATGTGTGAGATGGAAAGTTCTATTATAAGGTGATTGTAATTGCCTGGCAAGAGAGGACGAGGGCCTGCAGGAGCCAGAAAAGACAGGAAAAGGGGAGGAATTCACCAAAGGCATTGCAGGAACAATTGGTAGGACTTGAAACTAATTCGAAGTAAGGCTGAGGAAGAGGGAGGGAGTCAGGTTGCCTGCCAGGTTGTCAGTTGGTGTGATTGAGGAGTTGATTATGCCATTTATTGAGATAGGAAGAGTGGTGGGAGGGACAGGCAGGCTTTGAGGGGGATGGAGAGGAGTTCAGTTTTAGAGATCTTGATATTGAGAATGGAGCCCTGGTGGTGCAGTGGTTGAGAGATCGGCTGCTAACCATACAGGTCAGCAGTTCGAATCCACCAGCTGCTCCTTGGAACCCTATGGGGCAGCTCTACTGTGTCCTGTAGGGTCGGTATGAGTCAGAATCTACTCGAGGGCAACGAGTTTTGGTATTGAGAATGCCATGGTGGTTCCGGAGGTAGATAGGTCATAGAGCTTGATCCCTCTGCCATTTGATAGATCTTCAAATAGCTGACGCTTCCGTTTCTGAACTGATTTCGGAGTAGTCTAGTCTCTTAAACTGACTGAGAAAGATTAGGAGAAAGCTCTAGGTTAAAAGTGACTTGAAGTAATAAAAGGTAATATATAGAAAACCTTATTCTGTTTGTTAGTCACATAAATCCTCTATGAAGTAGGTGTGGTTATTACAACATATTATAGATGAGGAAACTGAGGCTTTGGAAAGATTAATCGGCATGCCCAGTGTCCGCTGGAATTCAGACCTAATGCTTTACGATTCAGTGGCTTCCCATTGTTACTGTGGTCAACACCGTACCCCTTAAAATGGCCTCTCAGACTGTACGATCGGGCTCTGCCTGCTTTTTCATTCTCATCACATGCCGCTTTCCCTTCCTGGAACCTATCATGTTGCCTTCCCTTCACCTGGGATTTGCTGCTTTTTCTGATTAGAATGTTCTTTTTCATCCCCTCCCAACCCCCGCTAATTAATTGGATAATTATCCTTCAGATTTCAGCTCTCTTGGAGAAAATCTCTTTCCCTCTTGGAGTAAGCTATGCATCCCTGAAATGGGTTTTTATGGCAACTTGGGCTGTTCCTTCCCACCACTTACTACAGTGTGAAGTTACGTATTTATTTCTCTGGGTTGATTAATGTGCGTCTTCTTCACCAAGTTCATTGCTCCACAGAGTAGAGATGGTGTCTGTTTTGCTCATCAGTGTATCTCCAATACATCACACCAAAAAAACTTGATTTCAACTCATGGCGACCCCATGTGTTTCAGAGTAGAACTGCGCTCCATAGGGTTTTCAATGGCTGGAATCTTATGGAAGTAGGTCACCAGGCCTTTCTGTCCTAGCATTGTCAACCTTTCAGTTAGTAGGTGAATGCAAACCATTTGTGTCAACCAGGAACCTAGCACAGTGCACAGTGCCTGGCAAAGAACAGGGATCAAGACCTATTTTTTGAATGGAAGAATGACATCAAAGCCCAGGCTGTTAACCATTTTACTGTACAAGAAATGTCTTGGAATAGTCTGTTTAATAGAAATACTCATTTTCATTGTAAGGGAAGAACCATGTACAATGACAATCATTGAAACTATGTCACACAAAATGAAGAATGAGATAATTCATTGACACTAGACTTGGGGCTTTGATATTGAAAACTGGCTAAATAGACTATAAGAAATTAGAAGATGGGGAAACCAAGAGCAGCCATTACTTTGAACAGTGATAAAGATAGGAGAGAATTATTATAGGTCAAAAGAATTCAAGGTAATTTAAGTAAAATAGCAAGTCAATAGATTTCCTGTCCCTGTAACAGACTAGGAAGAAAGGCCTGGCAGTCTACATGTAGCCAAGCAGAAGGAAAACACATAGCCTCAGATCTAATCAAGGAGCCCAGGGTCCTCTGCTAGCCCTAGGTCTGACCTACTTGGTAACTTTTATTAGGTTTATAATGTGTTTTTGAATCACAGCAGAAATGAGAATAATAATAAACCCATTGCTGTCGAGTCAGTTCAGATTCATAGCGACCCTATAGGACACAGTAGAACTGCCCCATAGGGTTTCCAAGGAGCAGCTGGTGAATTTCAACTGCTGACCTTTTATTTAGCAGCCGGGCTCTTAATCACTTCACCACCAGTGCCCCTAGAATAATAATAACTAGTGTAATTTTACTCTAAACTATAGTTCCAGGTTCTTAACCTACTTTAGGCCATGGATCCCTTTGGCAGTCTTGTGAAGCATGTGGACCCATTTTCAGAATAATTTTTTTTAACACGCAAAACAGTGGATTACAAAGAATTAATTACCTATTCACAGATTAAGAACCACTGAGCCCCCACTGATGAAAGAGTATAGTTCAGATATTCAGAGGCACCTCACCATTAAAGACTTTTCTCCCCATTTTTGGCAGCCATTGAGGTTCTCTGCCTAGAGACCCATTATTTTTGTAAGGTTGTTAAGTGGTGGTACTCTATCATGCCTTCTGTATTTATTAGCAGAAATTCTTTTATGAGAAGTGTTCTCTCTTTAAGTCTTTGTTTCATTCCTTAGTTTATATAGGAAAGTTAAGATAGATACTGGATTATCAGTTTTCTGAATAATGAGTATCCAGCATCCTACGAAAGGGAACAATGAATTCTGTTTAAATGTTATAAATTATGAGTTTTTAGATTTTATTGTATTTGATATGCTTCAAATCGTTATTATTATTATTATTTTGATTCTCAAATAAAAAGCCCTTTCAAGTTAGCCCTTGTGTCTTTTTGACCAGCTCAGTAGTATTTGATTGTTTCCTTGCTTTTAAGTATGACAACATGTTCTAAGCTCATCTTATGCAGTTGATAATCTACTTGTTCTCTGGCCTCCTCTTCTTGAGTAATTCCTGCCCTGAACCTGGAATCAGCCGTTTAATAGTGTAGTTTTTCTGTATCCTATTGAGTGGCATTCTATTTAGTGGCTATGGCATGACTACAACATGGAATGGCAGATATTTATAGCAATAATAAATTTTAACAGGTGGGAAATGGTGATTAGGAAATGAAAATCATTAAAGTTTGATCATTAATCCTGAGCTAATGTTGCATAAATCCTTGGTAACCAACCAGTTTGTATTTTTTTCTCCCTAGTTAATGTCCATCAGTGTGTTGGCGGTTTCTGCTTGGATAAGGGACTACCTAAATAATGTTCTGACTTTAACTGCAGAAACAAGGTAGGCTTCAGAACTAATGATTAATTTCTTCCATTAGACATTTTCAGTGCTGGTTTTTAAGTAACTTTGCCCTCAACTGTTTAGGTGGTAGTGCCATTCCATGATCACCTGGGAAGCTATTCTTGCCCCTGGGTACCTTTGTTGCTGACACTTGCATTTTCTAGCATTCTCGTTAAGGTGCGCCACTGGCCTGAGAGAGGGTTAGGGGCAGCTGGTTTCTAAGGATATTTCTGCATATGGTAACCCCAGCCATCCGCAGTCTTGACTGTGCGTCGGTCATGTTATATTTGCATATAAACCCAAAACCAAACCTGCTGCACTCGAGTCGATTCCGACTCATAGAGACCCTATAGGACAGAGCAGAAATGCCCCACAGGGTTTCCAAGGAGTGGCTGGTGGATTCAGACTGCCAGCCTTCTGGTTAACAGCCAAGCTCTTAACTACTGCACCACCAGGGCCCCTTGCATATAAAGGACAGCTATTTGTTTCTGCTGTTTTCCCGGAGAAAATCACCATCAACTTCTTACCTTCCTAATCCTGACTTAAAGAAAACCAAACACCACAATGGCATTCTCTTACCTAGTTTCAAAGGTTGATCCATTAGCATCACAAGGGGCAAATTACTTAACTTCTTGCAGCCTCTATTTGTCTCCGAATGGCAATTGTAATTTATATCTCTCTGAATTGTCGTAAGGATTAAATGAGATACGTTTTTGTAAAGTCCGTAAAGTAATGGAGTTTAGGAAGCCCCTGTTAATGGAATTTTTTGTTATTATTGTTATTACTCCCACGTTGATGGTTCTTATTAATGGATTTTCCATAGTGTTCTAGCAGAAATCATCTCTTTCCCTTCCTCTTTCTTTTGATATAGACAGCTTTTCTTCTGCACAGCAGCCTCCCACATCTTTGGGGGGACTGGTTGTCAGGGAGGAGGAAGGGGCTACACATGGAGTCCCAGATCAGAGATGAGAAGGGATATCCCTCCCAGCTGGGAAATAGCAAAGGGTCCCATGCTTTACTCAGACTAAGATTTCAGAGCTAACAGTAGATCCACTTCTTACAGGAGCCCTGGCGGCGCAGTGGTTAAACACCTGGCTGCTAACCCAAATGTCGGTGGTTCAAACCCACCATCCAATCCTTGGGATAAAGATGTGGCAGTTTGCTTCTGTAAAGATTTACAGCCTTGGAAACCCTATCCAAAAAAAAAAAAAAAAAAAACCAAACCCATTGCCATCAAGTCGATTACGACTTACAGTGAACCTATAGGACAGAGTAGAACTGCCCCACAGGGTTTCCAGGGAGCGCCTGGTGGATTCAAACTGCCGACCTTTTGGTCAGCAGCTGTAGCTCTTAACCGCTATACCACCAGGGTTTCTTGGAAACCCTATGGGATGGTTCTGTTCTGTCCTGTAGGGTCACTATGAGTCTGACTTGACGGCTTTGGATTTTTTTGGTTATCTTATAATTGAAATGAGTTGGTAGGGATGTTTAGGGAGTTCCAGGGAGTTCAGGGCTGATCATGGAAAAAGATACGACCCGGAGATAATAGCTTTGCACAACAAGCTATTTATTGGGGCCATTGCATTTATTGACAACTACATGTAGGGAGTGGTCCCACACAGCAGAAGGTCTTCCTGAGGGAAGGAAGCTCCCAGGGAAGAGGAGAATGGAGGTGGGAGGATGCTTACATATGCCTAAGCAATGTCCTTCGCCGGCAAGGTGGAGAGTCTGTGTCAGAGAGCTCCAAGGACAACAACAACTTGGAGATCCTTGTAACTACAGATTTTATCTTATCTAGGGTTAGCAGATGTTGAGTACAGTTTTATGGGGTATGTAAAGCCTGCAGGCTCTAATTGGTCAAAATTTGCTTTTTTGGGCTATTTTTAAAATAATTGGATGTGTGAAAATTTCAGTTTGGCACTGGCTGGCTTTTTGGGCTAACAAGCCCAGTATGTTATGAAGAAATAACCTGGGGTCAGTACTCAGAGGCCATCTTTGGCTCATTTATAGAACAGAATGCTACTACTTCTTATGAAGAAATAACCTGGGGTCAGTACTCAGAGGCCATCTTTGGCTCATTTATAGAACAGAATGCTACTACTTCTTATGAAGAAATAACCTGGGGTCAGTACTCAGAGGCCATCTTTGGCTCATTTATAGAACAGAATGCTACTACTTGCACGCAAAAGTCAACCAAACCAAAACAACAGTAAGGCGAGTAAGCAAATAAACAAAAACACAATGGCGCAGTTGTATTGAAAGTAGCAATCCTAGCTTTGAGGAGTATCTTTAAATGATGATTTAAACGGTTACTAACAAAAGTCACGATTTTGTCTTGTGCTGTGTCTTGGGCGTATTTTGATTGTATTTCTGTTTATAATACGATGTTCTTCTTTCAGGGTGGAGGAGGCTGTCATCCTGACTTACTTTCCTGTGGTGCACCCCGTTCTGATTGCTGTTTGCTGCTTCCTGATCATTGTGGGGATGTTAGGATACTGTGGAACGGTGAAAAGAAATCTGTTGCTTCTTGCATGGGTACGGTGTTTATATCTTTCCTTTATTATTGTTAGAAAAACCAACCAGTTGTGTGTTCTTTTTTAATCAGTCCGTAAGATACCTGGGTAGGGGACTGTGATAGCTGTGCTCTAATCTGGGGTAATTGTTCAGCATCCTGTGACAAGAGAAGCATTCTTTCCGTGAGAGATGATTTCAATACAAGTATTTCCTGTACTCAGACTGTGAGGTATGGAAATGTGTGTGTTACTGCATTATTTCACTCAGGCTACATGTTAAAATTTCCATTTGAAAGCCTGAGCTCTTTCCAGTCTCAGGGGCCTTATTACCACTCAAAAAGACCCTCAGGACTCAAACTGAGAAGTCACAGTGGAACTGTGTTTCTTTTTAAAAACAAACCCACCATATAAATGCACGTAGAAATCCAGGTGGTGACATAGCAGACATAGATTATAATCCTGCCATTGCCTTTACACATTTTAGTGGGTATAAGGGAGTAGTTTCTATAATCTTATTATTATTATTTTGTAATTCTGAAAGAGTTAGACTAAGTTACTTCTTAAATTCACTTCAGCCCTCAAATTCTGATTCTAAAATCTATAACTGGACTTCTCATAAAAAAATTAGCAAACTTTTTAACATTAAAAATCCGTAAAAATCCGAGTCAATTGAAAATACAGCTTATACATAGATTTTTTAGAAGAGGGTGTTGCATGATATACCGCATGCTACTGGTCCCAGGTAGTGAAGCCAACATATTATTGCAGACACAAGTTGTTGTTGTGTGCAGTCGAGTCAATTCCGACACATAGTGACCCTGTAGGACAGAGTAGAACTGCCCGATAGGGTTTCCTAGGCTGTAATCTTTATGGGAGCAGATTGCCAGGTCTTTTGTCCCGTCGGGAGGCTGGTGGATTCAGACCACCAGCCTTTTGGCTAGCAGCCAAGTGCTTAACCATTGCCCCACCAGGGCTCCTTTGCAGACACATAAGACTCCCGAACAATTAATTCTATATGTTCGTTTCTGTAGTGTACTGGAGCTCAGGGGGAGAAAAAGCCCTGATTGTTACATTTGAGGATTGCTACGGGGTAATACTCCCAGCATGGTCGATTTCAAGCTATCAACGCAACATCACTGAATATAGGTTGGAGTTGGGAAGAGATGAGAATAAATCATCTCTCAGAAGCTGGCTCCTTCGTGCTAGTTTTTTGACTGGCTCCTGCCCCAAGCCCATTAAAACACAATCTTAGCGTGAGGCTGAACTAAAGCTTTGAATTTCACAGCAACAACCCATGTTGATGTTAGGCTTCTTTGAGGATAACCCTTCAGGCCCATGAGTGGAAAACAGAAAACACTGTAGAAAACCAGCCATACTTAGAGAAGGGAAACGTGCCCGCTGCCTTATTTCTCTCATATGGCTATACTGTACAGTGAAAAGGAGAATGGTGGAAGGGTTTGAAATCTTATTTTCCAACTTAAGATATTGGGGCAATAATTTAAATAAACACAAAGGGACTTTATGAAACTTCTGTAATTTGAGGAATGGAAAATTTAGGTCAAACTTTTAAAAAAATCTCAGAATCCTTTCTTAAAACCACAATCTGATAATACAATGATGTCCCATTTATACGACCAATTTAAGTGTGACTGCTATTCTGCCCTCTTCCCACAGCTTGTACCATTCTGGATGGATCCTGGTCAAGAGACTAGGATGAGGGTGGGAGTGGAGGCATTTCATGAAACCACAAAAGCTTTTTAGGAAAACCATTTGAAAACCATTGATGCATTCCATCAGTCTGCTTAAATGCTAATAGGGTAAGCTGTCAAATAAAGTAATTTGGTCTGCTACTTGAAGGCAGGACAGTTCATAGAGACTTGTGAATGAAGTCTAGTTTGTAATGCTGGCAAGAGCCTTATGATGCAAAGGTGACTTGGAGGACTGAGGTTCTAAGGAATATTATCTTATTCATTCATTCTTCAAACACTTATTTAGCACATATACACTACTAGTTATTGCCCTCAGACCAGTGTGTATGACAGACAGTTCAACTATTCTTTGCTAAGACCTGTAATAGGGTATATATGGTTGCAGTGAGGCCAGAAAGGAGGAGATCCAAGCTCAGCCCTAAGGTCAGTGCCAGCCTCTGGGAGGAGGATGAGCATAGATTGACACTACTTTTCACTACCATCCCCTTTGCTTGTTGAATCTACTATTTTTCACGAAACAGCTTTTTGTACCATGCTGTTTCGTGTGTCCATGACTGCCGTCTACATCTTGATTGCTCCTTCCGTTGACAGCCAGTGGCAGCTCATTCCCCATTCCCATCTGGCTGCCTCTCTGCTCCTGGTAAATTTCTAGACCTTATTCAGTCTAGCCTCAGCTCAGCATCTCCATTGCTACAGAATGGTCTGTGGTCCCTACTCCCAGCTACCGATCACTCAACCCATATGCATTTGATTGGCTTCTCAGGCCATTTCTTCCCTGGCTTCCTTTCTAAAGCCCCTGCCTCTAAACAGTTGCCAAGTCCTGTAGATTCTGGCAACCTGAACTGCAACATTGGGAACCTATAATCTTGGGAACCTGTCCCCACTTTTCTGTTCTCATTTGGAATGCCCAAGTTCAGGCCGTCCTTGTTTCCTTAACTAATCTTACTGCCTCTCTTGTCTCCCCTAGTTTACCCAAAACCAATGCTGCTAGGTTAATCTAATGCAACCATGATCATATAACTCCTCTGTTCCAAGACTTTGAAAGACTCCTTACTGGATTATGAAGTGTTTATAGATACCTCAACCTTGCATCAAGAGCTTCTACATAAAGCCTTGATCTGCCATTTTTACCTTTCTTACCTGCTTCATTATTCTTTGGTCAAACTGTGTTTTCTGATCCCTGACCAAACTTTCTTGCCCCTTTCTTCCCTGTTTTTATCTTTCTGTCCATTTAAACCAAACCAAACCCATTGCCACTGAGTCAAATTCCAACTCATGGCGACCGTATAGGACTTGGTAGAACTGCACCATAGGGTTTCCAAGGCCGTAAATCTTCACAGAAGCAGACTGCAGCATCTTCCTCCTGAGGAGTGGCAGGTGGGTTCAAACCACTGAGCTTTTGGTTAGCAGGATAGTGCTTAACCACTGTGCCACCAGAGCTCCTTTTCTGTCCGTGTAGCAGGAAATTTCTTCTTAATACTTTTATCAAAATACTACCAGCTCATTAAGACTTGTCTGAAATGCTACCTCTTGAACTAATGACAGTGATGATGATAAAAAATAGTTAACATTTCTCTGGTTCTTACTGTGTGCTAGACGCTGTTCTAAGAGCTTTACATGAATTAACTTATTTTATCCTTTCCACGATTCTAATGAGATAATACTAAGTGTGCATAGCGAAGAGATAGAAGATTCAGAAATCAGACCGTGGCAGTTCAGTTCCAGACAACATATTTGTAACAACTTCACTTTTTTTTTTTCTTTACCTCTGTAATTGCTGTCTTGTCCTAAGTACCTATAGGTGTATCTCCCATGATATAAAACATTTTACATGTGATCTTTCACTTTAAACCTGACAACAGTCCTCTAAGATGAGTAATTATAAATGAAGCTCAGAGAGGTTCAGTAATTTGTCCAAGGTCACTCAGCAATAAGCGGTAGAGCTCAGATTTAGACCTCAGTGTTTCTGAGTGCCAAGCCCGTGCTCATTGGGTCTTTACTGATGTCTCCGATAGACTCTTCTCAACCTTTGAAGTCAGGTGTGTTGTCCTTATTAGACACTTCCTATTTTTATAATCAGCCCAAACTACCAGGCTCTAAACAACTTGATGATATGAACCATTCACCTTGTCCATTGCTTTAATTAATGGTTATTAAATTGAATAATGCTCAGAAAATTGCAACAGTGAGAGCAGGGGTAACTAGTGCATCAGCCTGAGGATGGTGCCTGGAAGTCATTGAAGAGAGTGAGATTTTAAAGGAGTCTGGCTGTGAGATAGGCTTAGGCTCACAGGTTTAGGCTTGCTTAGACTTGTTAAAGGGGGAAGCTAATGCAAAATGCGACATACTGTTAGGTCTTCGGCAGATGTTCGCAAGGCAACTCTGTGGCTCTTCCCTTTTTGCCTTTTAGTTTTTTATCCTGATTTAAAAAAAACTTAGGAAGTTCTTTATTTTACTTTTGGCTGTAAATATTTAACCAAGCAGAATGGATTCAGTCAGCTTGTCCATTTCCCTGTATTCAAAGTCTTGTTTCACTTTCAAAACCTGTAAAGATTAAGGTAATGAAGCTTTTTTTTTTTTTTTCCTAAGACAACCAGTATCTCTGAAGGCCACCACATCTCAAACAATTACTGAAAAAAAAAAAGCTTGCCCCTGGGCTGTGGTGGCGTTCAGGCAAGAGTCCAAGTGCCATTATTCATCAGATTGGTCAAGAAAAAGTGAGAGAGCCTCAAACTAAATCTTTATAAACACCCTGTCTTCCCCCGCCAAAAAAAAAAACAAAAAAACCCTAAGCTAAGAGGCCACCTTTTAGAAAACAGAAGACATTTCTGGTGAACTTCAGTCGTGAATTTGACCTTTTTATTGAATTACAGATACGAGCCATTAACCAAAAACCCAGTGCCCTCGAGTAGATTTCAACTCATAGCGACCCTATAGGACAGAGTAGAACTGCCCCATAGGGTTTCCAAGGAGCCGCTGGTGGATTTGAACTACTGACCTTTTGGTTAGCAGTCAAGCTCTTAAGCACTGACAAGCTATTGAAACACCCTAATTTAAGGCTTCCAAATAAAATAAGGAAATCCAATTAAATTTACACTTCAGATAAATAACAAATAATATTTAGTATAAGTATACCCCATGCAATATTTAGGACATACTTACAGTAAGACATTATTCGTTGTTTATCTGAAATTCAAATTTAATTGGGCATCCTGTATTTTTATTTGCTAAGTCCAACAACCTTACTATAATTATATTTGTTCTTAATAAATGTGAAACTGTCTTAGAACAAAAACTTTTCTATACATATATG